TAGTTAAACCCTGACATTTTGAACAGGGTCATTTGACTGAAAATCCAAAGGCATCAATGATTCTATCAAACCATACAAGAATCTTAACATGCTCCCATGGAGGTGTTCCCTGCCCTGATTCTCACAATCTAGTTCGTTCGTTCTTTCTTTCTTTCTTTTTTTCTCTCTTTCTCTCTTTCTCTCTCTTTCTCTCTCTCTTTCTCTCTCTCTTTCTCTTTCTCTCTCTTTTTCTCTTTCTTTCTTTTTAATAGTACTAGAGATTGAACTCAACCACTGAGCCACATCCCCAACCCTTTTTTGTATTTTATTTAGAGACAGGGTCTCACTGAGTTGCTTAGAGCCCCCTTTTGAGAAGGTGGCTTTGAACTCATAATCCTCCTGCCTCAGCCCCCTGGGCTTCTAGGATTCCAGCTAGTTGTGTATATTTTAACCCTCATCAGTTTGTTTTAGAGAACATAATAATTTAATTTGCTGATATATTTATTGAAATCTTGCTGTTCTTTCTTATAAACCCTTCCCTTTCTTTGCAGAAATTCCTTAGAAATGTGGTAAGGGGGTGTTTGTGAGAGATACCATTCCTCAGTTTTGTTTGAAAACATGTTTATCTCACCTGCACCACTAATCAACTGGTTTGTAACTTTAAAATGGTGATTATCTTTCCATTAACACTTTGAAGAAATTTTGTTATTATCTCCTGGGGTTCCTTTTTGCTATCTAAAAGCCTGCTATCACCATAAAAATTTTTGTACTTTAATTAGCAATTCAATTTGTACTCATACCTTGAGACTTGGCCAAATGAAGGAATGTGGTGTGTAGATAATCTCCCTTTTCTCACTGATTACTCTGAAGATATTCTCTTTGTGAGGCTTTCGTTATGTGCTTAAGCACATGATAACACTTAGTTTTTAAAGATTTGTATCTTCCCTTAGTTCTGGAAAATTTTAACACTCACATATTTGATTATTTTTTAAATTATTTTTAATTTGACTTTCTGTAAATTCTTTCTGTCCTCTATTACCTCTTTTTTCCCCATCCTTCCTAACTATTGACCTGCCTATCAAATTTTCCATATGTCTGTCTCTGTGTGCTATATATATTCTGGTTAATTCCTCAGTTTAGTTTTCCAGTTTATTAAGTTGCTCTTTAGCTGTGTTTAATCTTTACAGATTCCCATCCATCGAATATTTTGAACCACTCTGAGTCCCATATTATGCTTTATCTAGTTCAGCTTTTCTTTTTTCACTGCATTATTTTATTGTGGCTTCTCGTTGTTCTTTTATTTTATTATTTTTTATAATTGTAACATGTTTGTCTAATAGTGCTAAATAATTTATGACTTCGAGTTATCACTATGTTGGTCTATTTTCTGCTGACTCAGTTTTATAGTGCTTTATTTTATGTGTAGATTGAAGTGGTGTGTGAGTGTGTGTGTGTGTGTGTGTGTGTGTGTGTGTGTGTGTAT